CAGAAGAATGGCGTGTTTTCGCATCAGCCAACCACACAATTTTCAGCATTCTTTTCGCTTAAAGGATGAAGCATTTAGAAACTTCATTACTACGGTCTCAGAGGAAATAAAATGAGTGAAAAATGACTTCGCGGAAAAATTATTTTCCTAAAAAAATGTATTTAAAGACATGCGAACGGCAGTCAGAATTCACTTCTACTTTGCTAATAACATATAGGATAGCAATGTTGACTAAGATTACTTTATTTAACTTAATCTCTTTTGAGTACACCAATCGTTTTATTTCGTTTAACTTATACTCTACTGAGTCTATTAATCAATGGCATGAGTTCCAGCTATTAAACTATTTTAGCCTGTTGATTAATACAGACTAAAGCAGCCATCAAACTGCTTTAGTCCGTATTATTCAAAATTTAATCCACTACGTATATTACTATTTATAATTATTCAAAGCTTTAGATACATAATTTTGCTTCTGAACACACAGTCATACAAATGCACGTTGTTAACAAAAACAAAAGAAAGCGGTTATATCCCGCAATGAGCAGAAGTTAAACTTCGTGTAAATCTACGTTTTCTAATCTACGTGTAACACATTCGTCGAGGAATGTTTTACAGATGAATGTACATAGAATTATGAAATAAGCTCCTGTGTCTGGCAAATATACGGTAAGAAATGTATACGACTTAATGGACCGGAACATTTCTTACCAATTTATAAAATAATTACTTTTTCTCTTTCTTGTTTTGTGTTTGTGCATAACTTTCTCCTTTAAATATGGTTACTGAAGATATAGTTATCGTCTAGAAACATGAAGGCCTTTGAAAGAATAAAACGGGGTAATAAAAGAAGAAAGACTATTTGAAACGTACAAGTACACGCTCTCTAAATCTAACAGCTCTTTTAGATACAGTGGACGAACCTAGAGGAGAGTTTTTGAAAAAAGCTTTGGCAATATAAACGATGTGTCACAGGCAGAATTCAAGGGCCTGAAAAGTTCAAAG